TATGCAGTGTATTATTTGTTGAAACTGTACTTCCGATTTGATTTGAAACTGTCTCATTGCTATCTGTTTATCAATAAAACTTTGAAAAAAAAAGAATGATAAACTCGAAGCCTTCATATTTAAGTGGATGCCACTTGAAGATATACTCATAAGTGAAATAAACTAGACACATGTGTAAATATCATATAGTTTCCCTAGCATAAGAACTCAAAGAAATGCAAATAGAAAGGTATAACACAATTAAAAGGAAAGTGAGAACTTGAGGATTGGACAACAAGGAGAGGGCAAGGAGAAAATCTGGGAAGCAGGACAGGGACAAAGTCATACACTTGTATGTACAAGATGGTTAAGGCAATGATCCTGAGAAACATCAGCAGGTTTTTGAAACCCCAGGTTAATTGGTAGGATTCTCACCCTGACTAACTATACATGCTGATACCTGTGAACCAAGCAACTGTACTGAAGATAGCAATGTATAATAGAAGGGTCACGCTTGGAATACCTCTTATACTGGTCTTCTAAATATGTACTTCTTGTCATAATATACCAATTATTATCATACTGTCTCACAAGTAAAAAGGTTTTTCTTTTTTTAAATGGGTAACAAATGAAAAAAAAAAAAAAAGACACAAGAAAAAGAAAAAAAGTCACAGGATTGTCCTGCTACAATGTTGTATATGGTTAGATTTCTAAATTTCTGTGTAAAAATATGTCATTGTTTATTCATATTCTTTAAATATTTTTCATTTTTTAAATTTTTGTTTCTATATTCTGTAGGGACTTAATGTTTAACATATCAATACTTGATGGAAAATACCTGTTCCATGTTATGCCTAGGATGTTTGATATTCAGACAGATAGTGAAGTTAAACCCAACTGCATAAGATGTAGGGTAATAATAAGCTTCTCTTCTGGAGGATTAACAACCTAAGTTTGCACACCAAAAATTAGAGAAATAGAAGGGCTGCAAAGACAGCCAACATTTTGACCATAGCCTTTCAAGGTCAGGGAAGACTCAGGATATAGGAGAACCTGTACTGTAACATCATGTAACTCAGTTGTGTCCCAAATTTTTGATCAAGGAGATTATGGGGCCACAGAGCAACGTGATTGATGACATAGAGTGCGCCTAAGCAGAGTCACATTGAGAGAAAACATTCTCTCAGACTTTCACAAGAGAGCCAGTTGGTCAAGCAATGGCTGTGACTCATCCACATGGCTGACACTGACAAAGGATCTGCAAACTGCAGTATAGGGTTACAGGATAAATCCTGAGGGGACTTGACTGATGTTGTCAGATACAAATGTTACATTTCTTGTTATACAGGTCTTGCTTTATCTTGGTCTTAACTATCCAGCAGAAAAGTATAAAAACAAGGTATATAAAGTAAAGCCATAT